ATAATAATAATAATAATAATAGAAGAGTTTTTCTGTGAAACCCCATTCAGTTGGCCTGAACTGAGGAAGTTCCCACTGCAGATACTGTGAGATCTTAAAGAATTTTGTCGAAAGGTTGGTATGTTAGGCAGGATTTCTTTTCCAATGGACTTACCAAAAAATAAGGACACTTTAAGTCAAGAAGAAGCTTTAAACCCTGTTAAATTCCCTTCATTTATATTTCATAAGTAATATCATTTGTATGTATTCAGCTATGAATACATTGTGAATTACAGGGATTTTATTATTCTTTGTTTACTTGTTATGCTGTGTAAGAGGGATTGTAAGTGATGTTTTTTCCAGTTTATCATTGGCAATAGTCTAATTTCTCTGAGGATGTTTGTGGAAGAATCTTGGTTCCCAGCTTGTGTCTTTTGGTCAGTGTTTGCACTCCTTCTGTATAACCTTTACAAAACTCTGTATAAATTCTGTAAAATTTTTTTCTTCATATTCTTCACATTCTTTGCATTTTGCTGATGTTGTGGAATTCAACTGAAAAAGAAAATGCAATACTTTTCTGTATGTGTCTGAGCATACCTGACTTTAGATACTGAAGTTACGAAACACATATATTTATACATACACATTTATACATACACATTCAAATACACTGATACAGGTATGCATGCACAGTCAAAAGTATTTGCTTTGATGGGAATCCTGAAAGTGTTTTTCTAAAAAAACACTAAATTCTACTTTTTAATTGTTATATGTGTAGCTTTTTCACTATTATATGTACAGGTTACTGGATCCCATTTGCTTTAATCTGTACAATCTCACCTTTTATATAACAAAAGAGTTATTTCTGCTGCTGAAGAAATTCTTTTGATTTCCCTTTTTTCCATGGATGATTAGTGTTACTTACCTTGTTATTTTCTAAGCTCGCATTTCCATTTTTCCATATGTTCAGTACATCCTGTGTTTTACTACAATTTTTAATACGACATTCTTGAAGAATCACTTCCGTCTCTAAGAAAAAGCATCTCATTACAGGTTCCTGGCATTCTTTCTGAAAAAAATGAAGTTGTAATAGTTTTACAATTAAAAAGGAATAAGTGAATGTAAGATATAATTTACCACAAAGTGGCTGATTTTTATTTACTGGATAGCTGCTCTTACTATTCCAATACCTTTAAATATCTTCAAAGATTGGCTGTGAGAGCTAACAACATAAAGGCCAACCAGTTTGCTAAGATGAGGTGAAACGTAGCGTCTTTATAAAGAACATAGAAAAATAATTCATTAGGATAGGAATTGGGGATATAATTAAACGTATCAGAATTAAATTAGTATTATTTTTAGTAGTTCTAGCACTTTCATTCAGAGATCTGAATTCAGAATGGGTAGGGGAGAAGAGAAAGTAGATATTACCTGTATTTCACAAATTAAAGAAAAAGAGGCAGAGGTACTGATTTCTTCATCAAGTCAACAATAAGGCAAGAATAAGTCCCAGGTTGTCTGACTTTCATATCAGACTGTCCCACTTTAAGAAAATCTTCCTGACACTACCAGGTATTAAATCAGCCATTACAATGGATTAACCTCTCTGGCTTAGTTCAGTTAAGAGAGTGCATGTGTCATGGCAAAAGCAAAGAAATGCACAGGAAGATGCTGACAGTTACTCTCCATATTCTATTTCTCTGGTATTTTATTCCATTAAATAGTGCATGATATTAAATAATCATCTTTGGAAGTATTTTTTTATCGCTTTTTTCTTCCATCGAATTACAAATGAATGCCAACATTATTTTAGCAGTGTTTGCTTTGATAAGATCATTTTGGATCATCTCTTTTAATTGATGAATTTTAATAGCAGATGATTCAATAAAAATAATACCTGCTTACATAATTTATCATAAGTATTTGAACTAACAGAACTGTTCCTTCCAAGGTAAATTATTTGATTTCTGAAACTTTTCTCAAACTAGACCAAAGCTACCTTAGGAGAAAGTTGCTAGTGAAGAAATGAAGCTACCATATTAGACCAGTTTTGGTCAAATTTTAAGTTTACTTACATCCTCATCTGTGTTTGCAGTATATAAACTGACATCAATGTCCTGAAGGAAAACAAGAACCAGAATTATGAACATTAGCCAACAGATTTAGAGATGATAAAGCTAACTGTGCAAGATACGGATTAGCTTCAAGTTCAAAGGCCCAGTCCACCCAGGTACTGGGAGCCAGCAAGTCAGGGAATCTCAAAGTCACCTAGTAACCTGCAGGATGGGCTTCACTGTTAGGAGGACTCATTAGAATCAAGTCCCACGATACTTTCTCTGAAGGAGCTAACTCCCAAGCCCATTGCCCCATGTCTTATAAAAGGTGAGAAAGAAAATAATGTTTAATTCTAGGGTCTGCAGTATTTGGTCAACTCCAATTCTCTTTAACCTTCTATTCCTTTGCTTCCACCCATGAAACAGCATTATACAAACACCTTTTCCTGCTCCCTGTCACTTCTTAGCTGAGTACAGTGCTACATATTTAATTATGTCTGCTCCTATGATTATATGAAATGCTGACTTTTTTATGAACTTACTTTGGATGCCTTGATCTGTTCCAAATCTTTCAGAACTTCCGTCCATTTGCAATGACCTGCTGCTGTCTTTGGTACATAAGCACTAAAACAGAAGAAAACCAGTGACCATAAGCTAAACAGTAGGTATACACAACGTTTATTCTGAAAAAAAGAGTCAGAGATTATTAAGATATCATAGATACATTGTTTACATGTATATATACACATAGCAAATGTGTGGGACAACTATATTTGACAAATCATAAAATTATATAGCTACATAAAAACTATATTTCAGAGTCACACACCATAAACAGTCAATGTGTTTTTTCAAAAAGGCCTGTTTTATAGAATGTAATGCAAGAGAAATGTTCAACTACTTAATGTAAAATACCTACAATTCTTTTAAAGTATACAAAAAAAAAAATCACAAATTTCAAAGTCTCTTATACTGCAGATTCCTTCCCCCCCTCCCCCCCCCCGAATTTCTACCTTAAGCCCTGTAGAAATATTATTTGTCGTTTTACATATAATTTTTTGTGTACAGGAAAGATGCCTCCTGCTATGGATAAGATTTCGCTCAAAATGAACCACTAAAGGGTGGAAGGAAGATTTCCTTCTCCTTGGAAGGTTTTTGGAATGTGAATTGCAGTTTTAATCTGTTTGGTTCCTTAATTTGGATGCTTTTCAGTACTGCTGTACTATAAATAATATATGACAACGTAGAGAAAGACAGACCAATTGTTTTGGGAAGTTGGTTTAAAACAAGCAGTTGTTAGACATTTAAGCCTCAACCGAAGACTCAAAAATTACAAGATTTTTGTGAAAGGGAAAAAAAAAAAAAAAAGAGGGTTTCTAACAAGAATCAGAGGACACTTACCATGTTTTTGCCAGGGGGAGAGAGAGAGAAGAAACATCAGATCTTAGTAAAGAAATTTGACTGTACGAGGCACAAGGAGAAAACACATGGGACCTGTAGGCCCTAGAAGAAGGGCCGATTTTCTAAGACAGGAAACTGGAGTGAGAATGGAATTCTTATAATTCAGCATACATATTTAAAAATGTTCACGTGTGGTGGTTTTTTCATTGCAAAGATGTAGCAATTGATGGAGGTCTTTAAATGCAACAATTCCAACAACTTGAGGGTTATCATGGAGATTAGGGCCATGATGCATTCTTGACCAGACTGAGTCTAGTCAAAGACAGAATAAAGTCAGGGACTTTATGGCCACTTATGAGTGGCCTATGAATCAGTAGGGGACTGCATATCATGGCAGCAGAGGGATTCACTCTCTAAAGTGACTGGAGGCAAGTAACAGCTGCAATAGTAAAAATAAATAATTTGTATTTACTATCTAATTATCATTGACTTTGTAGTTACCATAGAAAGATGATGATTAGTCTCATCTCATTCTTTAAAAGGCAAAAGAAATGGCTGTTCAGAAGAAGATACAGCTGATATTGCAGACAAATACTTTTCAGATGTGTTTTCTGAAAGACACAACCAAGATGATAGCTTATCACAATCTCATTTAACAGAATTTTGCTTTAGTACTGACTTAATTAATTTGAAAAGACATCCAATCAAGACAAGACTACCTGTTGTGAGTAGATTGAAAGACCAATTGACTTGTAACTTGCAGAAATACATAATCACTTTACATACCAGTTGGTAGAAAATCAGATGCTGAAGACACACTGCAAAAATCTGAACTCATGCTGGGCTCCCTATTTATTTATCTGTTCCTGCTGCAGACTGCAATTTAATGCAGGGATAATATTAAAGAACTTGTTTTGTTTTGTTTTCCATCCTGGAGATCTTACCCCTGCCTACCTTTTGCCACCCAAATTCTGAGAGTTACCTACAACTGTAATATTACCTACAATATTGTGGTTGCATATATATATGAAACTCCACATCAAATACATCAAATGCTATAGTTATGTGTATAGATTTGTGGTGGGTTGA